TGAGCTAACAAAAATTTCAACAAGTTATAGATAAATTATAAATCTGCTTCTTATTTGAAAAAATTCAAAATTTAATAAATTTTTAATAGTTGATTATACTGTCAAGAGAATATTAATCTTTTGATTACTTTGTGTTTTATATATTTTATCCTACGATTTTACCAATATTCCTAGTAAGAATTAATGTGCTCGAATAACAGCCAGTATTATCTTGTGACTTGTAAGATTAGAAGGAGAACATTATCATAAACTGTTAAACCTGTTTCTAAAATGTGGACCATGGTCGTATAAGATCCACCGCAACATTCCGTACGAATAGGTCAAAACAGATTTGGCACTCATCGCGAGGACAACCTGTTACGCAAGTAGTTAAAGTAATTATAAATCTGTCTAATGAAATAAAGCATAATAATTAAAAGCAGGAGGTACGTTCTGTGCTCAGATAGGTCAAAAAATTTTAAATTAACACACAAATTTTTATTTAAAATTAAAATTCCAGAGGTCTGTAATCTTTCTGAATTCCGCGCGATGAAACAGATTGGACGCTTTCACCAGAACATTGCGTGAAACAAAAAAGTTGTGTGCTTTCTTTTTAAATTAGTAAATTATCAAGGACGATTACTTTTGAAATCCTTGCGATCCGCGTCATGCAATATAAAAATATAATCCAATGTCAAACGGATATTAATATTGTCAATATCCGGTTAGATATTACAACATTATCGTACCAATCAAGTATGCAAACGCGTTTCTCTTTTCAAACCACTTTCTCCGTTACATATAATCGTGATACACACACACACACACACACACACGCACACACACGCACACACACATATATCTATATATATGTATAATAAAAAAATTAGTTTTAAATTGAGATAGATAATCTCAGATATATACAAGCAAGAATAATCTTCTTAGAAGATTTTTTAATTTGGTGCAAATAATACTTGCATAATTCAAATTCAATAATCAAATTAAGTATTCTATATGCATTCCATATAAGTTCATGGATTGCAATCACATCATAAAACTTAATGATTCTAGAGACGTCATTGTTTGATTGCATCTTTCTACTTGAAATAAGTTCTATTGCTACATTCACGAGCGCTAATTGTTCGATTTTATATCACGATTTTGATTTCTTAATTATTACACAATTATCTATTAATAGTATCGGCTGTAATATGTTGCAAAAATATATAATATATATATAGAATGTAGGAGCGTCTTAAATTGAGCAAATGAGAGGACGCTAAATTGGGCAATGAAAATTCTGGCTCTTAAAATATCTCTTAAAATTCCACTTAAGAGAAACACGCAAAGTGCAATGTCATTATCTTCGCACGTTCACTTTCTTTTGCAGCTTTCGACACTCGAGCACGTATATATAACATTTACTGGCTGGCCTTTTTCTTCCTGTTTATAAATTTACTGCAAACTCAGCAGTAAACTCGAATAATTCATGTGTGAACTCATGTCTGAAACTCTCAGAGAAATGCAATTAAATATCATATAAAAATCCAAGAATTTCTAAATAGGTTAATATTCATAATTTTTGAAATAGTTAATAAAAAAATTATTGCAAAGCTTATGCAATTCTATAATAAGTAAAGATATATAATATTTTCAAGATCGTGTTTAATACAAAGACTGATAATGAAATAAAAGACTAATTAACGTACATATTGCATGCGAATAAAATATAGAATAGTATTTTTCAAGGCTTAATGAGATTAAATGTAACATTGCACATTTATGTCTTTCGTACAGAAAGGGCGAGCCTGAACTTGACTTTAGAATGTTCTGTAACGAAACTGAGTCACGACGCGAAATTTATTGTCATGCTAATGACAATATGAATTCACATTGTATCACGACTCATCAAATGATGTGAATGTTAATGATCGCTAAGTGAAAGTCTATTGAAATCGAAGATTGAAAGAGATACGAAAGCTCCCTTTCCAATTTACCTTTTATTTTTATTATTTCTTTAAAAATTTTTATAAAAGGTCTTTATAATAATATTATATATTATAATTTTGATTAAAATATACATTTTTTAACAAATGTTTTCCGGAAGAATCTATAAGATCAAAATCAAGTTTATTTGCTAAATTGCAAATAAACTTGAAACAAACATGGAAACATTTAAACAAGTTAATAATTGCTTTTCAGCTCAATTTTACGCATGTTTAAAGTAATTTTCGTTCTAATTAATAAAATTAATTTTTCTTCCTTTAAATTAAATCTATAATAAAATGTTATATTAAAATACTTTGTACTAATTTACAAAATAGGAAAAAAGCTATATTTCAATATTGAATAAACAAAATTACAAAGGTATCACATATTTAATTTTTAATGTTAAATTTCAGTTAAAAAAGATAATTTTATAAACAATATTCCGGGAAACAAATAGTGAACAATTAATGAACTATTAGAAAATTAAAATTAAATTAAACTAAATTAAAATTAATAATTCTTTAGATCTCAATTTACTTATTTTATATTTTATCATAAATTTGATTGAAATCATTTTGCATTGTCCAATCTTTGGAAATTCGAAAGAACCAATTTCTTGACATTATCTGCATTATGAAAATTTTACTGAACCGAAAGCAAAGGATGTGAGAATAAGCGAAAGAAATACTGAAAGGGGTATCCGGAATGAGTCTCGCGGACGCGCCACTAAAAACATGCCGATGACGCCGACCGCAGCTGCAGCCGCAAACATGCAGCCGCAAGTGACGTAACAGGATCGCGATCAAGCTGAGAGACCTATGTAATGCACTCCCGTAAATCCGCCATCGTGTCGGCGATTAGATAATATCTTTTACTTCCTGAATAGAAAGTATATGCTTTTCGTTGAAGCCACTCCGAACGTATAGACCCCGCCGTCTTCGCGCCTTCCCAATGACGATCGCCGTCGCCGTTACGTTGTCCACGATAACAAGGATACTTTATTACATCACTCGCAAAAAAAGCTTGCATGCTTGCCGGCGAACGCGTATGCGGCGATTACGCAGCCTGGTTATTTAATCATGGTAGAAATTACGCGTCCCGCCGGCATTTAAGTAAGGAGATTACTAATTTCATATTAGATAATAACCAACCAATGGTGCTGGCTAATTTATGAACCGTGTTACCGCAACATTCTGTACCGTGCTGCTCATTGTTTTATTTATAATTTATATGTATATTGTATCATCTATAGCGCAACGTGTTTGTTACAACTTGCACGCGCCGCAACTTTCATCTCAGGAATTTATAATGTCTTTCAAAGCCTTCCAAAAATCTTCAACTAACGGCAAAATACACGATTGTATTGTCTTGCCATGTTACAGCTTTTAAAGTTTTCTAAAGCTTTCTTTAAAATATTTCCGATTGCAATACACAATGTTTAATCCGATATAATGTATATAGTATCAATCAAAGACTAATACCAATCTTTATCTTTGCGTTAACTCTCGCTCATCATCTTTCCTGAAAGAAAGTAAAATAAAAATTTTTTCTTACAAACAATTGGTGTATTTTGTTAGTTATTATTTTGGAAAAATGTTGTTATTCTCAATAAGCAAAAATTCATTTCTTAAGCATGACTGTAGTTACCGCACCTATGTTGAAATCGTGATGTCATAAGCGAGAAATGCGCGTTAAAATTTCTTGCATGCCATTTGTAAATAAAGAAAAATTGGATAAAACAAAAAGATGAGATTGCTTTAAAACACTTGTAAAAATGGACGGAAACTATCTTTTTTCTCCCTGACAGTCAGTAAATAGTCGTAAAAGGCACGTAAAGTGAAGCCTATTCAGGCAGTAAAACACACGGTTTGACTGTTGTTGAAAGGCATAAAAAATATCCTTTCGTATAAAATTGAAAGATAACATTACTTTCCAACCACTTTTACGAATTTACTAAGTATGAGACAACACACATTACATTTTCACAATTAAGCATGTAATAACGAAAAGGCATGTAAGAAAAAATTTCATCTTCATTAATTAATTAACACGTCACTTTTCGATGCTACGAGTACGATGGATAATTAAGGTTTTAATTTTTACTGCAGTACAGTATCGCCACCTCAACGGAATTCTTGCCTGAATAGTCTGGAGCTTTTAAATTTAAATCCCTTTTGAAATATTGCGATGATCAACTATTACTATATTAGACATTCGTAAGATTAAAAATTCGCTACTCTACTGCTATTTATTGAAAAAGACAGAAAATCTTTAAAATAAAGACACGAGAAAAGGAATACGCATTAAAATTTGCGAGATAGCCTCGCAGTTTTATTTATGTTATGTAAGTATACCTATAGATTTTTATTTAAAATTTCACTTCCGTTCGTTGTTGTCCAAGCGGATGATAATGAAATAATATATTCAAACATCTGTACAATAATAAATCGACATAAACTTAATTATTGTATTATTAGCTAATTGTTTAGATATTTATATATCGGATAGTCAATAATATCATACTTTTCAATAATCATCGTTAAACTTACTCGATAATCATAAAAATTTATCTTGTAGTGTAATTTATCTTGTTTAATATAGTTTTTATAGTACCTCGCCAACGGACAATTAAAATCAAACGAGATTAGCGCCTTATTTATTATTCAAAATTCATGATTAATAATTAAATTAGTATTACATTTACAAAAAGTTTTTTATATTTAATATTTAATTATCGAATAAAACTTACAAGAATTATAGTAAATCAAAGCGAGATTTACACTGTTAGTTTTGATATGTCAAATACACCAATAAAAATTCTTTTTTTTTTATTCAAACGGCATAAAGAAAAAAGAATTTTTTCGATGAACTTCGGTAAGATTCCTATTTTATTTAATACAGAACTGATTAAAAAAACGACTTGATAAAACATTATCTCTATAATAACAAATTTATAATTTCTTATTCAAAAGAAAGAGATATGATATAAAAGACTCTATAATTTACTGATGACAAATTTCTTCTTGTTTCAGTTGATGATGCATCTGGTAGATTCACTAACGGATATTTCTGGGGTAATTCTTATTTTACGGGATCGGCCACCGAATGCGACTACATCGGGAAAACCCCATCACATCATACGTATTCGAAAAAACATGTAGAAGATTCAAAAGTTACTACATTTGAGAAAAATCATGAATTTCATACAGAGTCACACAAAAAAATCAATATGGGTTTTAGTGGAGCTAATTCCTGGTCTGAAACAGACTTCGTCGAAACGCCTTTTCAATTGGGATTTTACATGCTAAAACTTTCTATAAACGTATCTTATACACCAGTAAGTATTATTAATGTGTTACAAATTTATGTGTATAAACTTGCGAATAAACTGAATAAAAATATCTTAAATATTCTCTATTTTAATTTATTTTACATTTATTTTTTATTCTATTTAATAAAAAGAAAATTTATGTTTGTTTTTATGAAATTCATCACTGTTTACATAATATTTTTATATTAAAATATTTAAAATTTATAAATAATATATTAATTCTAGACATTTAAATATTTATAAAGAAATAATTAATGATCTATTCTGATCAAAATATAATATGTAAAATTCCCTTGTTTATAAACGTAACATTTTCAAAAAATTTGACAAAAAAAAGAAATTGATTATAATAAAAAATGTTCATATATATTCTAAATATTTTGATAATTTTTTTAAATATACATATCAAAGTCAAAATTTTTGTCATATAAATATAACATGTAGTTTTATAAAGAAATTAAGACGTATTTTTTAACAAATTCTCGAGTTGCACATTTTTAAAGAAATATCTCGATTCAAGAAGAACGATTTTGCGCTTGTGAAAAGAGGGTTTTTTACATTGCATATTATGTTACGCAAAAGTTTATAATACAAAAATATACATTGTTCTTGTTTCAGACAAAACTGATTCATCTCGGCGTTTGCCTTCCATTCTCATGCACTGCCTCTGACGTCGCCGTGATCGGGAAACTCGCCGCGAACGAATTTGCAGCAAAGCATTCGACAATTGAAAAAGTCAGAGATCAGCACAACTTATACGACATGTATACAGATCCAGTCTTTTGGGTTTTATCGTAAGTTCATGAAAACAGACTCTTATTGGCTATTTGCCAAGTACATGACTAGTTGATTATCATAAAAGATGAATCATATTTTGCAAAGACAAACAATATATGAAATTTATATATTATATACACAATTTTATACATATATTGCTTTGTTATTAGCATATTAACATAAAAGATGAATCATATTTTGCAAAGACAAACAATATATGAAATTTATATACACAATTTTATACATATATTGCTTTGTTATTAGCATATTAATTGTTATGCATAAAAGACAAGAATCGATATATTGTAATTGCGGATTAAATTATGTGCGTGAGTAAGCAAAAATCAGAATTCAATTTGTTTCAGCGGTGTCAGCGTGGTGGTCCTGATACTGATGATCCTCGGAACTGGGTACGATTATTATCTGACGAAACAGGCAGCTCGCAAGAGAAATGTAATCTATGATTTGGAGAAACATGGAAAACTCGATCGTCTTACTAATGGCGATCGGAAGGTCATAAATGGTAAAGGAATTAATATTCACGTTGTCCAAGAATTTTTTAATCATGTGTTAATCTGCTATCACTTGCTACTACTAGAGACGAGAATATTAATATATTAAAATATAAAGATTACCTTTTACTTTTTATGAAAAAAATATTATACAGTGTTTATATATATTTTTATGCATAGATCCTTCAGTCAATTTAAATTAAATTGTTCTAAAATAAAAATTTGTTCTTTATTTTCAGTTTTTTTTATATTAAACATTGTACATTTCTTGTGACTCTTCATACAGTTAAAATTAAAGTTTGTTAAAGTAAGATGCATTTGAAGTTAAATAAAAAATAATATTTTGTTATTATTATACATGCATATGAAAATCATTAAATTTCAATCTTGGAGACTACATAGACATTTATTATCATATTGACATTTTTGTAAAAGAAAAATCTACTTCGGTAAAATAAGTGATCATGTAGAAAAAAAGTGTGAGGAATCTAACGTTGTGCAAATTGAAAATGACAGAAATAAGAATTAAACGAGACGCAAAACTTAGTTGCTTTCAGCAATGTGCTTTCAGCAATGTAATAACTGCTTTACGCGAGGAAAATCACTGTTAATTCATTATATCGGTACTAACTTGTACTACAGTAATTCTGAAGAATGCTGTTAAAAAGCAATTAACATAGCGTATCGTGGGTATATCACACGATAAAGTACAGACTAATATAATGCACGACCATCACTTACAGACTATCAAGACAAGACAAGGACAGTATCAAAAAAGTAGTCACACGATTTATTATTATATTTCCGTAGCTGTTCAAGGTGAGGTCTACCTTCCTGTTCCAGTGGCAGATTCTAATAGCAATGGTGTGCAGTCGATTAATAATAACAACAGTCACGAAAATGGTTTACAAACGTCTACCAAAGAAGAGCAGCTTAGTACGTTAAATTTTTATGTCTTATCCGTTATTCCCGAAGTAGAAATATCATCTCCGTAAAAAATAGACGAATTAAAATGAATTGCAAGAAATCTAGTTTGTAAACTTAAATATTAAATAAATAATAAATGTTAAAAAAATTTAACATATATTCTGTATTAAGAATTAAGTGAGATTAACTTTTCTTCTGTTTTCAAATTTCTTTCAATTCGTATTGACTAAAACTAAGTATTTATAACACATATCCACGTATATATATATATATATATATTATTTTCTTTTCTAGCTTCTAATTATACAAATTAAATGATCTCGTGTAAAAATTAAATGATCAGGTGAAAGCAGAAAGGATAGAACGAAAATTAACAATTAAAAGATAATTACTCCCTTTCTGAATTAGATTAAAATTTTATGATTACAAAATAAATTCCCATTTGTTTTTTTTTTTAATTAGTATATTCGTTACAATACAACGAGCCTTTCACCCTTTCTATTACTTTTGCAGGTATTTTCGAGGAACTTCTACTTTCTTTCTCCGTTACCGCTAATGTGAAGATTATCTGCGACCGTAACGTAGGCAGAGACACAATTAGCACCGTGCACGGACTTAGAGCGATATCGATGGCTTGGGTCATCCTCGGGCATACGTGCATTATCGTCTTTAAGTACTCGGACAACATGGAATATCGTAAAGTGGTGGAGAAGCGATTCCTCTTCCAGACCATCACGAACGGGGCCTTCAGCGTCGATACGTTTTTCTTCATGGGCGGTTTGCTCGTGAGCTTTCTGTATTTCAGAACCAATGCCAAGGGAGACCTGAAGAGACTAACGCAGGGCACGCGAGGCTTCGCCGCAGGCACCCTGAAATTCATCGGGCTCCTTTTGTATCGATTCTGTAGACTCACCACGCCGTACATGTTCGTTCTGGGGCTGGTCGAGGTTTCGATGAAGCATTTCCACACGAATTCCGTTTTCGAGCCTCCCACGGCAGATCACTACAATTGCCCCAATTATTGGTGGAGAAATTTGCTCTATATCAATACTTGGTTTCCGGTCGAGCAGATGGTGCGTTTTATTTTATTTATATATCCTGTATTGTAATATACATGAAAATAACTCGTAATTCATAATTTTTTCCGACCTTTATAGACGTTGCACGTTATAATTATGTTTTCGTAATATAAAATATAATGCGGTATTTTATAAAAATAATTATAACAGATTTAAATTCTCGTGCTATCAATCTCTCTAAATTAAACTCTTCTGTATTAATCTTCTTTCAATTCGGCCCTTTTTTTGGAGATTTGCAAATTTTATTCTACCCCCGATCAAACGAAGGTGTAAATTTACACCGTGACATTACAGTGTATGCTTTGGAGCTGGTATTTAGCGGACGATACGCAGTTCTATATCGTGGGCGGAGTGATTTTGGTACTGGCTACGAATCACTTTAAAATCGCAGCTTGCGCGTTAGTCAGTCTACTAGTAAGCTCATGGGTAACCACCGGCTACATCGCTCTAGTTAATAATCACATGCCGAGCCTGGACGATCCGTTGGCGCTCTTCGACAAGATCTACGACAAGCCGTGGACGAGATTAGGTCCTTATCTGATCGGCATGACGGTCGGTTATTTCCTCTTTAAGACTGATTGTAAAGTGAAAATGTCTAAGGTACGATTTCATGAGAAAGTAAATTTAACTAACAGTGACAAATTTTTAAAAAATTTAAAAGAGACATCTCTTAAGCCCTTACGACACCTGCATGTTATCTGGACATTCTTTTTCGATGCAAAACAAAAATTAGAGACTTAATTATTACTTAATTCCTATTACTTGGCGAGACATTTTAGACGCTGTCATTTCTAGACTACCGTCGTCGTGGGATGGCTCCTGTCTTCCGCGTGTCTCTTGAGTTTGCTTTACGGTCTGTATGAGGCAGAGCTTACACCTGTTACCGCAGCCGCGTATTCATCCTTGAGTCATAGCGCGTGGGCGCTGGGTTTAGCGTGGATCGTAATAGCATGTAGTACTGGCTACGGCGGTGAGAAATAAAATGCGTTGACATTTTGATAAATCATTTAGATTTACTCTAAATAAGCGTTAAACTGATCGATCGGTCCGCAATTGGACTACTAGGATGTTAAATCGTTGCTGTTTCAGGCTACGTAAATAAGATCCTATCGTGGCCGCTCCTGTACCCGTTCAGCAGGGTGACTTACTGCTCTTATCTAGTTCATCCGCTTGTGATCCGTCTAACCGCTATGAACCTAGACTCTCCGTTTCATCTAGGGAAGGATATAATGGTGAGCGTGCGGGCAAGGGGAAAAGTTTTACGATTAACGCTTTTACGGACGGCGGACTTTACATAAAAACACTTTTATTTTTTCAGATGATAACATTTCTCGGGCAGCTAGTGCTGTCGTACGTATTGTCGTTTGTAGTGTCAATCGCCTTCGAAGCGCCGGTGGTCAGTATGCTGAAGATTGTTTCACCGAAAAAGCGGAAACGTATACAATAGAGATTGAAGATTATATTTAATACATGTCATACACCCCGTACGTAATTATTTATATGATCTTATATCTACACATTATATATAAATTTCGTTAAAGATCCACGAGGAACAACGATAAAATATCGCGAACAATTATTACATATACGCATGTACTTTTAATATCATTTATCCGATTTGTTTGAAATATGTAACAGTTGTAGACCTCTCTGTGTATCGCTAGATGTAAAATAAATTATTTCCCTTTGTATATAAATTCCAATAACGTTTCGCTGAATGAAACGAACTGCTCCGGAAAAAAAGTACTAAATGTACGTACTTCAATAATGTCAGCTTTTGTTTGTACTAAATGCAATAACGCTGAACGAAGACTACTCTCTTTATGATAATCAATATCTTTTATTTACACAAATAAAAAATAAATATTTATTTCTGTCTCTTACTGTTGCTCTTACTGAAGTTGCTTATGTTATGCGCAACACGACATTGAACACAACGTTAACATGAACATTGAATATTAACGAGAAATTAATTCCCCCTACCTTTACGATTCGCCTTCTATCGCGACTTCCGCATTAACATCGACAAAGTATGGGCCCTCATTGACAAACTGCTTGAATTTCTGCATAGTGTCCGCGTCGAATATATCTCGCTCCGCTTGAGATAAACATTTCACGATTTGGTACTTCTCGTGCTTACACTCCTTAAACGACTCGACATTTCTATCTAATAGGAACTCTACCAAACCGGGATACGTGGATATGTATTCTTGCCCCCATACTTGAGAACTGATAGCCCCCAGCACCGCCAAACCGCCCTGTCTGATATCGGCGAACGGTTGTCTGCATATCGCCACGATCATACCCAACGGATCGTCGCACAACGAGTCGAACCACAGTTTCGTCAGGGACAAAATCCTATTGTCCTGCTCGTGCCTCTCGACGCGGAGTATCCGGTAGAGGCTGCTCAAGCCGCGAATTCTCAAATCGGTCGGCATCCTCTGTACTATCTCGGCGATTTTCTTCAGGGCGCCCAACATCGCGTCATCTCCTACAGCTTCCAACGCGTACTTGCCCTCGACGCTCTCGGACACGAATCCCAGAGTGTCCAACGCGGGGCCCAGGAGACTCTCGTCCCCGCTGTCTATCACGTCGAAAAGCGCGATGACTATCACGGGATACTTGGAGAACATCTCGTTGGGCCAGTGACACGCGATGCTACCGAAGAACTTCATCAGTCCCGGGAGCACAAGATTCGACAGGGGATTCTCGTTGACTTGCGCTATCTTTTGGACCAACTTGACCAACACCTCTTGCTGCTCCAGATAACTCAGGCCCTCCCCGGACACGGCTAATTGAGTTAATAGCTCCAAGGCGTTCAGCTGAAGCAGCACGTCGTCGTTCTCCAGTATGTTGATTAAGCTGTTCAGAAAGCCCGATTGGGCTGTTACCTCCAGAGCCTCTTGAGACGTCGTGGCTATGTCGACAATCACTTCGTAAACGCGAAAGCTAACGGTGTCGTCCTGGAGCAGCTTGGCGAACGTTCTCAGGAGCTCGCCCTTATACAAAATGTGCAGGCCACTCGGATTCTTTCCAATTTTCTTCACCGCACTCATCGCGCATTTGGCGACATTCAAATCGTTATCGCCGATTCTGTTTACAATTGATATCAGAAGCGTGGTGTCGGCGATCAGTTGAAGTATCTTTACTGGATCCTTAGCTGTGCGCTCAAAATTATGTAGCACAAGATATCTCACACTAGCATTTGGATTGGTTATTAAAGCGGACACTTCGACTGGATATCTCTGATAAAATTCTCCAGGTTCCAGCTTTTGGAACAAGACAAGCAGAAACTGGCATAGCAGCTCTACGAATTCTCTGCAAAATAGAAAAGTGGAATTCTCTTTATTCTTACAATTACTGGCAAATTTCAGAAGCATTATATATTATAGATTATATACATTTCGGAAGTATTATATTATCATTTGTATTATGTGACCAACACGAGAAGCAAGATTTTGTACTATTCTACTAAAAAGATAGTTACAAATATGAGATAACAGTCTAATCATTAAAAAAATTTTTTTACTGTTACAAAAAGGACTATGTTAGCTACAACGTGACAACTGGAGGGCCTGCTGCAACACTGAGCTAATCCACATTTTATAACATAATTTATAAAAATGGAGAAAATGAATCTAAAGTTCATCGCCTTACTTCAGAATTTTTTTTTTCTCTATTGTTACAGCAAGTCCTTCAATTAAAAAGTTGCTGAAATTAATAGCAATTTCATTGAATGCACAGCATGTTATGCCGTTGTACATTATTCTAATTTCAATGTAAAAGTAAAATATCTCGAGTAATAAAATGTTCAATACAATTTTACCAAATAATACAACAAAGTACTATTAAGAATTTCACTGTTTAACCGGTTTATATATTTTTATAACAAACATATGTTATATTAAACATATGTTATATTAAACATATGTTTTTACGTCAATTTGTGTATGTACAACGGTTTTAATATCCACCGAGTGCCACTATTGCGTCCGACCGAACTCACTTTAAAGAACCTATTTATATATTATATTTATATATAATAATTAAGCAGACAGAATGAGATAAACTGAATGCTACTCTGCGTAAGACATCCGTTATTTTCATCAGTCTAGCCCTCAATTAGTGTATAATCTTGGAATAGGGTGAAAATTACAAAAGTGAGCAAATTCACTTGAATATTTTTGATTTCATTGACCAAGTATATCTAGTGGATTTGCTCATTTTTGTAATTTTCTCTTTGTCTCAAATTATTACACAATCGATCTCCTATAATGTAGAAATTATATTCATACATGTCCTATGAAAATTCTATGAATTCATATCCATTAAAAAATTAAAATAACAATTACTTAGTTCCAGCAATTTCCTGGTTGTCATCCTACGTATTCTTAATACGGCATTAATATTGACAAAAAAAAAACGTGTCTGCATTTAGAAATAAATGATAAAGGCGCAGATGAGCTCGCGGATTACACGTGGATGGAACTATGTAGCGTCCATAAGAGAACCGCAGAAATTTCACCTGTCATCGTACCTGTCGTCGTTTGAGGTTAGCTGCGCAAGTAACGGCCTGAGGTCCAGGCTACGGGCGACGAGCTCCTCGTCCCCGTCCCTCAGCGCAGCGAATTTGATCTCGACATCCTTGAGAATGTTCTTCTTATCCTCGATATTGTTCGATTCGCACAGACGCTGGATCTTCGCCTGATACCATGTCATAGTTGGCTCGCTGACAGTTCGCTCGCTCGGCATATTACCTCGTCCTCTCCCGCGCTGTGACACCAGCTGTGCGTCTGTCGGTCCAATCGGTCGAAATGTCGCGCTTGCTGTGAGATTCGTAAGCAGCGGCTCAATCAATTCCAATTCAGATAAATTCGCGGTATTTACATTTCTCTCTTGTTGTTAGTAAACCGACTGGCAACCACCAGGTCGTCACTGCGCTGCCAGGTCTGTTTGTAGCTGAACTTTTTGTACTTGTCATCCACCCTCCTTCTCGCTCCCTTCGGCAGCGATCCAATCACGTGGTCATCTCATTTTGAGTGCAGACGTAACGCGACACGAGTGCAGCAGCCGCAAAGAGCAAATGTGGCGTGTACGTGGTGTACACGGCATGCGAACGTAAATATAAAACATCACTTTCTAGGCGACGTGAGTAAAGAAACAGAGTATATCGGAAATACAATACCACTAAAAATACCACACTCGACTATCTCGAGCTGTTCACACTCGTCCACGCGTAGAGGCATGACCGTACGTATTACGATCGTATAAGGAATGTAATTTCCGATGGATTACGATAAACCGAGGTTTGTCGACGTAAAGGAGAGGTTCCGAGACAATTTTCCCGAGCGCTGAGAATCTTCAGAGGTGCAAAATAAGAAACGATTTTCCAGGAACGCGAGAAGGAGGTTTCTAGGTTAACCTAATTTCCGCGCGGGGCCATCCATTTGTCTCTTCTCGGCTCTTCCAGTGGGGCTCTGCAAAATGTACAAGATGATATCGAGGACGTGCGCGTTTCGCGAGGGCGTGACGAGCACCCTGACGTTGGCGCACCCCTTGAAGCGCAACCCCGCGACGGTGCGACGGGGCCTCGTGAAGGAAGCGGCGGTGAGGGAGTCGGAGAAGTCGGGCAAAGTGGCGAATCTGAAGCGCTACTGGTTCGACAGGTACATAAATTACATCAAGAACTACGAGCGCACCCTGGAGCAGAGGTTCCCGCGTACGATGCACGTGTACCGCGTGTTCAGCGTCGGCAGCCGCGACGTGTACGCGGACCTGAAGAGGTTCGTCGCCGCGATAAAGCGGCAGGGCACGGACGGCGTGGGCAGCCTGACGCGGGAGCAGCTGCAGCTGATGCACACGATGCCGCGGGATCTGCGGAAGCTCTCGCCGCTGTTCCTGCTCACGGCCCTGCCGTTCACGAACTACGTCATCTTTCCCCTGGCCCTGTACTTCCCGCGCTACCTGCTGACGTCGCACTACTGGACGCTGCAGCAGAAGCTCGAGTTCATGCTGTCCGATCACAGGTCGCGACTCAGGCACAACAGGCCGCTGTTCAGGTGCATGCAGGCCGAGCTGAAGGGCATCGGGGACGAGGCGCTCAGGATTAAGTGGCGCGACGCGATAGCTTGCCTGGGGAGCGGCACGCATCCGACCACCAAGAATATCCTAGCTTGCTCCAAGCTCTTTTCCGGCCCGCCGTATTCCCTTCAGAGTCTCAAAAGGAAACATCTGGTAAGCCCGCAAATTGCAGTTGTCACTTCTATGAATTCACTGAATTCAATGAAGTCTTTCGAAAGCTTGTCATAATGCAAATATGTTGTATGATCTCCAGAAAGAATTATTGGCAATACATGGTATGTCATTGTGGAGACCTTTCAAGAGGAAAAGATTGATGGAACGGGGTATGTTAATATTGCGAATGGATTGTGCTATCGTACGAGAGGGAGGAGTAAAAGAAATGTCTAATGAAGCGTTGCGATGGGTAGATACCTTTTGTTAGTTTCAGGCTTTCAGGATATCGAAATATGTATATTTTTTGATATAAAAGAATTTATTTTTGTTCATTTTATTGCAACAAAAGAGAAGAGACGTCTTCGTTCTTCTTATAACATAATTTATTTTTCTTTCTTTGTCTTAAAAGATTTATATATATATATATAAATATTGAATTTTATATAATTATACAATTTACAATTTGATAAATTTTGTTTTATACAGCATATACTGACATAGTATACAAAAGATAAATTAGCTTTATTTTATTATTAATTTATTTTTCAGGCACTATCCTTTAGAGGCGTAAATCCTGCAAATATGTCTACAGAAAATATGAGAAGCTGGCTTGAGCAATGGTTACTAGTATCAGCATCTGTTGACCAAAGTAATATATCCTTGTTATTGCATAGCCCTATTTTATTAGCTTATAATCATTCAACAAATTGGATTCTTGTATATAGTTGAAAAACCGACAGTATTAGAATTTTTTAGGTTTTGCAAAATATTTTATTTTAATATCAGTTTTCTCTCACAAAAGTTTGCTTTGATTTTTTATGAAATTAACATCCAATTTTTCTTTTGTTAGAAATTTATATTGTTAACCAATTAATCTTAATTTGTTTCTCAAAAAAAACATTGTCTTCTTTTTTTTTATTTGTGAATATCAATAAACAGTATTTATTTATATTATACATACAAGTCCTTCATATTTATTTCTTGTATATGCCATCAAGTATTAACAAATTGAATTTTAAGTTCTGTGTAATAACTGCAGAAAGACAGCTGCGATATATATTGTTTTGTATATAATAATATAAATTTGAGTATATTTATATACATATGAATTGTTACTTTATAAGAGAAATTTGATACAGAAAATAAAAATAAAAACGCAAATTTGAACTTTCCTATTTTTAATAAAACCTATAGTTATATAGTTTAATAGCTGCTGGCCATGCAAAGATAATATTTAACATAATATTTAATATAAATGTTATTCTATTTATGCTAAAGAAATATACGAAACATTTGAATCTCTCTATTTATATTTTTATTTATCCAAATATACACTAAATATACAAATTTTGTTTATGATTATATATACATATAAACAAATACATGTCGGGTGTGCGCGTGTGTGTACGTAATAACATTTTATTCGTATAAAATTGTATAAAATCTAGTTCTACTTTATGTACATTTGGGTGTTACAACATAAGTTTCGTTATTATGAAAAAATACGTGCCAATCTAATCTAAAAAATGAAACAATGAAACGAGAGAAGTCAACAATATTTCGATAAAAAAAAATTCACAAGCAGATCTATGCCAACTCTCCTTCAAAAGAGAAGCAAATTATATTAATCGACGGACGTTTTAGCTGTTCAACTCGTCAAATCACAAATCCAAGTAAATAATAATCTCAATTCAATGTAAATCTAACAAATACTAATAAAAAATACGAATCAGATTAAGATACTAAATTGCATAATTAGCAATTTGCATAACTCATGATCTTTCTTAAAATCCAAACCCTGTGTGAGTATTATACTAGCCGTTATCTTTTCATTCTTGTCATTAAGTGCTTGATCAATCATAAAATATACAATCAAATTTTATTCTTACCAGCTGAAGATTCCGTAAGAGGTTTTTCTGTGATATTTCACATTTTTCATACATATGTAGAATGAAAATATGACTCAAAGACTTCATATAAGATAATAATTAAGTACACGACAAGATTATTATAAAAAATTTTGCTGCTACAAATAATTCATTGAAAAGAAAAATTTGTGAACTGATAAACCATTTTTTATTATGGGTAACTTTTTTGTAATATATATTTACAATATAATTTGTACTTTAAATTAGTATTTATAATATATCCGAGATAATCGACCGTTGGGATAATAAGCATCCTATATTCCGATACTTGGTACTTGATCGCAGCATATCGAATACTCGTACATTTAGGATTATATATGAAAATTACTTATTTATAATAGAATGTAATATATATTTTATTATAAAATAGAAAACAGTAACAAATATGATTTAGTTCTTAAATATATTATATGAAAAATCTATAATTTTGTAATGAATATATAACAATCATTAAAAATGAGATCTCTAAACATGTATTACGTGAGAATAAAATAATTTCATTGATTTAATTTCGACGATCTTAAATTAACTCAACTTAAAAGATTTACCAAAAAAAAAAGATAATAAGTATAAATATTAATTAAAGATGATCAATAGGGATATAACCGCCAAAAGAAACCTCTTTCTTTACGTTATTACAATCATAAACCGTTATCTCTAATTCACGTTTGTTTTCTCGGACTAAGGATTTATCTTGCTTAATTTCGTTAATTTTAATTTCCTTTGCAAGATCGACAATTGGAATTTCTTTCTTTTTCTCAAGTTCTTCAGACAAACGATCAGTTATCTCGTAATATCTTAATCTGCCCTCCGAGTTTGAGATCTCGGAATTACCCTCTGCGACAGGTGCAGCATGATATTTTTGCGTATCATGCGTTTTGCTCAAGTACTTAGTGTTTTTCTCAGAATTAGAGGAATACGATTTATGAGGATAAGGACAACACTCACCTTTGCTGCAATTTCCCGACTTGTTAAATTCAGGACAAAGATACTCGTGACGACGTTGGCACTATAGGAGAACAAATCAGTACTCTACGTTTTACAAAATATTATTATGAGCCTTTATATTTGCATAAGGCATCTGGTTGTTATAATTGAAAGATCATCTTAAATCTAATCTTAGATCTTATTAGAGCATCTTTTTCTCCTTTTTTTTAATATTAGTGAGTTCAGACTTATGTCCACGCGAGCCGCACAAGTCAATTATCAATTAGCTGCAAGAAAACAGCTAGTCAAATTAACACATATTTTTTATGTATTAATATGACTACATACTTTCTACACGTCAATAAATCGGACATCATTAGTCTCCTTTATTGAGTTTTACCATGAAAATCTCTATCTCATATGATATCAAAATTGACTTCATTTACGACCCGCGAGCCACATATCTGAAATCTTCTATTAAAGAGAATTTAAATTATATAATGCAAATTAAGTAAAAAATTATATTTGATGTATGTAAATAATATATTAAATGTGAATAATCTACCATACGAATAATCAGTTAAAATACAAAATAATTCAGTTACCTTATTTCCCTTAGCGCAATATCCTTGTAGAAAATCTATGCAGATTGAAGTATTCGAAGAGACTTTAACATGAAGATAAGGACAGGCGTCTCTTGTGCAACAGCCATCGAGGAAGTACTTGCATGTAGGCATTTTCTCAGGTCCAACGTCGTGAGATAAGGAGCATTTGCTTAAGAAACACTTCCCTTGCAGAAAACTGAAAATATTGAACAAAATTGCACGAGAGTTCATATATTTAATATATTCTTGCTTTCATCAGAAATAAAGAATTTTAGAATTTCTTATACTGTGTATTAGGGCTTGAAGACTTTAGAATAACAATTTCAGAATGCAATGTGTATTGATACTAATAGTATATTCGAGAAAAGAATGTAAAGTTATTTAAAGAGAAAAATCAAACATGAGAGGCAAGAACTCTGGCAATTAACCAATAAATTTCATTGTTAATAGAATTTCCAATTTCTAGTTATAAAATACCTAAATTAAAATAGAATTTGTGTTTTTAAAATATCTTGATGTCAGTTATAAAATAAATTTCATAAAATATTAATATTAATAATAAACATTTGATTTTTAGTAAAAAAAAATAAAGATCTTGACAATTCTATGGACAAACAAAGATTGTCACTTTATTTTTCAAAAAATTATCCGATTAAACTAAAATAAATCATCTTGTATATAGCTTTGACAGAAGTCTGTCTAAATATTTAGATTATATAAATAGACTAATTGTAAGAGCATCAATACATTATATAACATATAACGAGTATACAAGAGTAAATGTATTCAATATTTCAAATGTCAACTTACTTTTTGCAGAGCGACACCTGCTTTTTATCATGTCGTTTGACACATGTCCCCTTTTTATAATTTGGACAAGATCCGAATCGTTGAAAAATCAAGCAAGGCTGATTGTTCTTGTGCATTTTATTTCGTAGGATTCGTATGCTTCGTTGTTTTGCTTTGTTGCTAGAAAGGAAATCAAAAAGTTTGTATAAAAAATCAATAAGAATGAATCCATTTCGTACACAGTTTCAAATGATATGTATACTACTGTACCTAATACTATTTTTATAAGTAGCCTTCGCAGCAGCGTTGTAAGTAAATTTTGTTTTGCTGCTATTATTCATTTCTGTTGTGTGACTTAAACTTTCTTTGCCCAGTCGTTGTTTCTTATTATTAAGAGTAACAAATTTATCACTCTTCCCACTGACTGATCGCTTTCCTGAATTTTCATAGGAAAAATTAACAGAGAATACACGTTTATAAATTAATTATGAAAGTGCACGTGTTAGTGTGCATATAATGAAATAAAACGTGAGACTACGATGAACATACGTTTCAACAAAGAGTTTCTTCGAATTAACTTATTTTTGGAAGCCCTATAAACGATACCGCCAATAGTAACGAGTTTCTTTGTGCCGTTTCTGCAATGCAAACTTTCCAACTTCATAAATTACTTATTTTACAACTTATTAGATATAATGCTACATGTTACTTACACAATTTTCGTCATTTCTGAAAGACCAGCTTCTTTAGCTTTCAATACGTGTAACGCAGTTCTGTCTATTTTATATTTGGTCACTTTAGATTTACTATTAGATTTATTGATATTTGATTTTGATGAATTGGATATCATACTTGTGGACTGTAATGTATTATTTATCATTAACGGTTTCATTTTCGCGGATTTTTGCGTTGTCTCGAACTTTTTATCTTTTAACTCCGCATATTTTGGTGATCTACGTTGATACAACGGGGACGTTCTCGATGTGCTTTTCGTAGCAGATACTCTCACGAGCTTTCTACGTGATAAAAGTATAATGCTAGAGTTATTCGTCTTTCTCGGAGAAGCCTTTCGATTATCAATATTTTTCACAAGCTTCAATCGCGAACAAACTGGTCGTTCTATTGTAACTGATTCTTTAGAATTCGTCAATTTTTCTTTCGAAGAGGATAATTTCTTCAGTAATGTCGGATTAACATATATAGATCTCTTGACATTCGCTTGCCCGGTGCTGTTATCCGTGCTTGTTTTTGTTGTATTCGTGTTTGTTGTGCTCACATTGTTTAATAGATTTTGATTCGAATTAGAAATGTTGTGCATTATTTTTGGATTAACATGTATTAAAGGCTTAGCGTGGATATTCGGATTGATATGTACGGTTGATTTTTGTGGCTTAAAATTGGGATTAACGTGAACATTTGTGGCGCGCAATGTAGATTCTACACGTACACTTTTATCTGAACTTTCAGGTAACATTTTAGAATTCAAAGGAGAATCGGAAATCAGATCTGACTGAACTTTCGGCTTTACGAATTTAAACTTTCTGTTCGGACAATTAGTTCTTTCACTGGACTGTAAAATTGTTTGCGTCTTTTGCCTGTATTGCTCTATCTGACCTGTAATTATATATAAGATAGTTAATCTCATAATAATATTATCGAGCAAGAAAAAAAGAAAATAGTTAAGATAGTTAATATTCTTATTTTTAACTTATTTTAAGGTAATTAAGATTCTTATTTTAAACTCTTGTAATTATCTTTTTTTTTCTTACTTTATAAGAATCTTAACAATGTACAGAGAAAAAGGCCTGTCGTAAAGAGCAAGAAATTTTGAAATGCTTATTATCTTAATCTTAATAGAACAACTTGTTGCGATAAATGTTTAGAACGAGTGTATTCTTACCGATGTTTGAAGAGTAAAGAATATCACGAACTAATTTAAGAGACCAATGCATGTTTTGTGTATAAAAGATTTACCACTATCAATGCACTATCGAACTGTTCGCAATTCAGCAACTGTCAACTACTGATCCTACCGTCATCAACCGTCTTAGCAGACTGTTTTCGAGAGCGGTTTAGAATTATATTTTTGTTTTCGACATTGAAACGTTTTCTGAGGTGAAACTTTGCATCGCGCTGTTACGTCAACAAATTTTGTCCGACATTTGTGTATAGAAATCTATCAACAGAATATGGTGGCAAATTGCAAAAATAAAGTCAAATAAATAAAATCAAACAGGACATTACAGTTGCGTTTATTCCCAGCACCGAAAGGACGCAGATGACACAGGACGTGTAACACACGACGAATCATTTCATCATTGTTAAACATCGTCAAACAGCAAGGACGTAATGATGTAATGACCGTGTCACGTGCTTGCGTCAACCGCGTCTCTTGCTACAAAAACAAACCATTCGTAAATCATTTGAATGACATATTCCATTCAAATAGCTAGAAAATGACAGATTCGACTTTTAACAATCTGCTGTCGGATCACATCAATAGACTCTACTCTGTGGCGAAATGCGAACGCAATTGATTCGAGCAGAATATTGCACCAATCTGTCGCAATATTTTGCTCGAATTCGCTGACCAGCTGCCAGCGTACCGCTAACATCTTGCTTACGAAGTGCAGCCACTCTCTCGCAATAAATACGCGACGTCTGAACGGATTGAACTACACGCGTCCACTCTTGGCCTTTACTTACGAAAAAGATCAGGCCAGCCCGATCCCCGAGAGGTTGCAAACTTACTTTTTAAATAATGAATCTCCTTCAGTATATTGATTTCCGTACTCGCGGACGACGGAACTCCCATTTTCGGAAATTCGACGGACGGATCGCAAGAGATATCCCCGCGGCTGCTCTCTCTCGTGAGAGGAGACGTGTCCTTCACTTCTTCGCCTTCGCACAATTCCTCCTCCCTTCTTTATCGGTTCTCTTTAAATGTCTCTCTCCTTTCGGTCGCCTTCTCTTTCGGTAAGTCTTGAGTCCTTGACTGGCAGCTCGTCGTTCGAGGATTTCGAGAAAATAACAACCATAACGTCACGAAGCAGCAGCTGATCCGGAGCGAGGCTCGTGTCGGGTTTACACGTTGAAGATTGGTCAGACTGCGAATCAGATCGAGATATTCGATTAATCGAGGCAAATCAGGTTAGGATTAAAACTAGTGGTTCTATTTGTTTTATTGTAATTTCATCGATAGATATTGTTCTTGAAATTGCTGGAATCGTTGCTGGAAATCTGCCAAGAACTTTTGCACCTAAAACGAGATAAATATATACTCGCGTGTTGACGATTAAGAGAAAGTGAAGACGCTGGTGAGTGCAAAAAGTGCACGGGCAACAATTCAATTATTTGTGGTCGAATCTTCATAGTTCGAGTTGTAATAAAATTATACTCAAATAATACCGTAAACGTATCGTGCTGATTGTGCATTAATCGATATCGCCAATTTAGCCCAATTCAGCTTGAGTTCATTAAAAAAAATGATCGTTCGACTCGTCGCGGAAGTTCGTATAAAACCTATCGACTTCGATACTTGTCGTGGATAACGCCGTTTCACGCATGCGCGGTCATTGGTGAAGCTATGGGTGAAGTGCGGTGAGGTGCGGTGAAGAGGTTGTGATGATGCTGCGAAGCGAGGAAGGAAAGTAGCTGCTGGAGGCACAGAAAGTGGCGAACCGAGCGAACACGACAAAGAGAGAGAGAGAGAGAGAGAGAGAGAGGGGCGGGAGGGGTGATCGAGGAAGTTGTCGGCCGGGGGATCAGGACGTCGGAAGTGGAGCGAGAGGTTCGGTGTGCTCGTTTGTGGCATACGTACGTGAATCGCGACTTTCTGGTAGAGTCTCCCGACTTATCCGGGACACAAACGTGACACAGATCGTGTATAAACCGATGGACGACGTTGCGGACTCGCGGGGGCGAGAGGCGACGCCGCTGTCCGGCCACAGCAGCCAAGGTGGTAGTGTTGCGTGTTTCAATGTAAACATGACGTCGGTAGACTCGGGAGTGGAGACCGGGAACGATTCGAACGACAGCTCGACCGTCCAGCAGGACGGGCAGCAGCACCAACAGCAGCAGCAGCAGCAGCAACCGCCAGAGGAGGAGGTGATCTTCTTCTGACGATTCTTTCGATTCGGTCGCAAACATTCATCGCGTTCATCGCGCGCAAGCACCGCCGCCACCACTAGCACAACTACGCCGACCTTAACACCGGCACCGTCACCGCGCAATCAGCCGAGAAGTCAGCAGTCCCGCAGCCGCGTCAAATCGTTTTGATTTTCAACATAAACTTCTCTCGCGATGCAATCTACTCGCTGTTTCATGCAGACACACTCTTTCGTAGCGTCTCCATCTCCTACCACATTTCGCATCTTCTATGCGCCCTCTCCTCACTATAGGTTTGATCGTCTTATAATAGGATGCACCTGAGACTATTTATTTTTTCACGACGAGGTCGTAACGTAACACGATACTTCATCCTGTCCATACGACATCTAAACGACGACGTTATTGTCAACAAATGAATAGTTTAGTCTTGGAAGATGAAAGCTGGAAGAAGAAAGAGAGGTAATACTTTATTACGTTCCAACTGCTATAACCGATGGCAATAATCATTTTTATGCCAAATCTCGCGAAACTACTCGTATATTACCTTGGTGAGAGGAATACGTTAAGAATAAAATGCAATTTTTATTAGAAACGATCGGAGATATTTACAGAGTCGAGAAAGAGGGAGAAAGAGTATTTTAATGGCCGGCTTAGCAAAGTAGATCAGCCAATCTTGTTGAATTCTTGCTCGTTATGTTATCCAGCCGACTGACAATTTTAGAAACACAAAATTTTAGATGAATCTTTTAAACACACACCTGTTGCTGCTTGCTGA